TGGTGGGAAAGGCCCAGGCGGCACCAAACAGCTACCACCAGTTTTGTGCAGACCTTAAACAGTCTTAAAGCTTTGTGGAACCATGTTTGCAAAAACACGGGAACCGCAGAGAAGACTGTGCTGCATATTCTCTTAAGGAAGACACCAGAGGAAAAGGAAACAGAAACTGGGTAGAACTGTTTTATTCCTTATCAGCCAATAAATTGAGGCAAGGAGGGGAATCTAACTTTTTAATCTAACTTCTGCCTGAAAGTGTCAGAAAGAAGTTCATGGTCTGAAGGCAGAGGCACTGCCAGGCACTCTCCCCAGATCCGGATCCAATGGCAGCTCCTATTTCTCCTTCAAGGCGAACGGATGCTCTAGCGGTGAAAACACACTGGAAGGAAGGAACTCAAGAAGCGATTTTCCCAGCGGGAATGGCCCTGAGGATAAACACACACCATCAGGAAAGAGCAACTCCTGAAGCAACAGGGTGGAACCACCACCCAGCTGGGATGGAGCAGCCCAGCAGCGGCCAAAGGCAGGGAGGCAGCGCAGGGACCCTGTGGCAAAGCCGGCTCTGCCGACCGCCACACCAAACCTGGGCTCAGCCTTTGTGGCTCCAACCCCAGAGCCAAGCACCCGCAGAATCCCGGGAGGCATTACGAAGAGGGCATTACGGCTGCGCGGGTGAGCCGGATGGGGTTTCCTTGGACCACGCTGTGTGAGGGAGGAGGTGACGCAACGCTGATTCTCCTCAGGAAATATTAATGACAGGACGGCTGCTTTCAGGCTAGGATACAGTGCTTTAGATAATCGAACTAAGGGACACGAGAAATGAGTGGGCTCCAAGGTTTTGTGTGTATGTGACATTTCTCAATTAAGTTAAAAATGAGTCTTCTTTTGACCACCTATGGTTATCTCCAAAAGTTCATTGTTTTTGAATTAGTATTGGAGGTTCAAGTTTAGAAAAACCATTCCCGATGCTGACATTTGCTCAAATGCCTCCGAATACTTCCTGTTCCAGGAGGCTGAAGACACGTCCCAGGCCCTCCACCACAGGTCCCTCAGACAGGGAGGGCACGTTTCCTGCCCCTCTCACAATCCAGTGCCCACACGGATACAGAGCACGGATACAGACGGCTGTCCGGCACCACGCACGGCTCGCTGTGTCCCTCCTGACCCAACCTGGTCACCCAGCTCCAGCAACAGGAGGGGGACACCGAGGCTGGATTTCACCGCCCAAAAACCTCCGAGCGCCCAAACATTCCCMATGAAATTTCCCTGCAAGAAGCAGTTATCTAGCTGCAAACTTTTCAGAGGGTAACCTTCAAAAAGGCATGCTCAGGAATTAYGGTTTTTGCCACTGCGGAGAGCTCTTCAGACATTCCTTCATGGTGTGTACGCTAGACTGTTACTCTACACCACCCCCATCTCAAACCGACACACTACCTCGAACACCAAGTGCTTCAATTAAAATAGCTCCAGAAAGGCTGCAGAAAGCGCTTTTTTTCAGAGCATTACTCAGTTCTGATAGCATTTAACAGCTGCATCAACCGCAACGCRCAGATCCCCTCTCCACTGAAAGAAAATCCATGATTCCCTTCATTAAAACAAAGCAAAAAGCTGCTCACAAATAAGGRAAATGTATACATGCTACTTCAGGTGACTTCTCAGCGCTCCCATTTCTGAGTTTCAGTTAGTTCTATTCAGTAAATTCCAGGCGGTTTTATAGGATCTCTTTATTTTCCTTTCAATTAAGTAACAATCTGACAAAAATTTAAGTGCATTTCCCCTCACTTTCAGTAACAGATACAAAATTTATTGGATTCCAACTTTTCAACATCTCTCTTCAGGCAAGGTCAAAGCTCTACATTGTTGTAGTTTTCTTTTTCGGTGTTTTTTCTCCCTGTCAGTCCTCCGCTGGGAAATTAATATTCAGCATGAACAATGAACTCCTCGCGTGGCCTCTGAACCCCGCGGTTGCTAGGAGGCCCCAAGAAACCCGGGATTACGGCAGATTTAATGGCACGTAATAGGAGATTATTCAACAGGAAAATGTGTGATTTTCCAAGTTTCCAGCCCCCCCTTTTTTTTTTCTTACTTCCATCCCCCTTTATCTGTCAAGCAGCCTCTAAGTTTCACACAAATTGCATCTGCAGTAATTTTCTGTAATTATGGGCAGTGTGCTGCCCCCATATTGAAGATGTGACTGGCAGGCATCAATACCCCTTCCGATCAACACGATACAAAGCTGGTCCCTACCCAGTGTTACTGAAGGGTCTGATTAAAAACCAGGCTGGCTTCACCACTCTAGCCTGAGACTGGCACCTCCATCATCAATGAGGTTCTGTTTAAAGWCTGTTTTTTCCCCAAATAAGGCACCACGGCACTGACTGCAACACCATCACTAAGGATTTCTGTGTGTGAATGAAGGGTATATGTTTTTTCCCATGCCCCATTCAGACAAACTCCAACATTAACGTTTAGAGCTTTTTAGTACCTCAGTGAAGACCACAGGCCTGTTTGTTTTATCGCATTTCCCCAAACCAAAGCAACTGAGGCAAAAAGACAAGGTTGCTTTCCCACCCTCCACCCCCACCTCACACAATGCAGCATTTAATTAAAAGCAAACCACAACAATACTAATGGAGATGAGGTTAAATGGTTGGATAAACAGAATGCAGCGCTCTGAAAGSGCCCTGCGCTTCAAGACACTTTCTCCCATACCACGTTCCGGGTGACAAAGACTGTATTTGTATTCCTGATCGGCACAACTTCCATGCCAGAAGATTTCCCGTGGACTTCCTGCGAGGAAGAGAGCTTTCTTCAAACAGTGAGAAGTGCTTAGCCACAGTAGCCATTCCTCCCAAAACCAATATTTAGAAAGGCAGGGCACAAGGATCCTTTAAAATAAATGAACGTATCCGTCACAAGAGAAAAAAACTGCATTCCCAGCTCAAAGTCTACCGTGTATTTTAAAAAACCTTCCCAACTTTAATTTTTGGTGTATTTTCCCTTTAACAACTTCAGCAGGTTTCTCAACCTAAATATGAGATTCTTTCCTTCTTCCATTGATGCCGTTTAAATCCATGCCCCACATCCCCATAAGCACAATGTTCCGGGGGGGGGGAGGAGGCGATTACTTCGAAACATTTCGGATCCATGGGCCCCAACACACACAGGTACCTTCTGTGAAGGCAGAGCGCCCCAGCTCACTCTGAAGATGGCTCGTGTTTCAGCACCTCGTTGGATTGTACCAACCTTGCCAAGATAAAGCTTTTACAGAGCCAGATTGTTTCCCCAAAGAATTAAAAACAAGCAAAAACCACACCACGCTTGGCACAAAACGCTCCCGCACGCTGCCTCTCTTTCCAATGCGGGTTTCCACACGGAAAGAAAGGCCTCAAAGTAGCGACTTCCCGCAAAATTGACACAGCATTTCCGACAGGAGGAGCATCGGGACGTCCGTGGAGAACAACAGGAATCTTTGCATGACGGTCAGATTTGGCCTTCCCGTCGCGTTCAGGCTCTGCAGCACCAACACAGCACAACAAAACAAAAAGCCCAGCACCCATTCYAGTTTCCTTCAGCTGCTCCAGCATAAATTATACTTGTCATTTCCTCTCGATATGTGGCTTCCCAGCGTACTGCCAACATAGCACAATATTCTGACGCAGGCGGATTTTTCACCAAGATGCCTGTTATTCCCCTTGCGCTTGGAGGTTAAGGGAAGAACGGCCACGAGGCATTTTTAAGCCATAAGAAACAGATCCTGCCCAGAGAGACGTGCTTATTAGGCATGGAGATAGCAAAGGGAGCCTATAACTGACAACCACAAGCTCAACCTTTGCAGCAGAGATGGGGGAGACTGGAAACATTTGCAGTTACGCATAACAAATACCCTCATTTTCTCCCTCTTTCTCTCCTTTAAAGGAATCTGCCTACTCAACCTAAATTAAGCCTTAGAGGAAAACCGTGCCTGTATGACAAACGGGAATTGGGCATCGCAGCCTTGCGTTACAGTCCGTCCAAGCCTCGCAGCGCCAGGCTGCAGAACAACAAAGGTTTCCAGGGTTTTCTGCCCCGGCCCCCACGCCATCAGCGGCTGGCCCAACTCTTCTCTCCGGTGTTTATGAAATGCCCAAATTCCAAAGCCGCTAGGATGAATTTCGGGATGAAGAGGCTGCCATTAACGCCACCGAGGCTCTCCAAAAATGCACCACTACTGGTTCGAGGCCGAGCCTCTCCCTTGCGCCTGCGGTTCCCTGTGCTGCTTTTTGTTTTGTTTGTGCTGCCTCTCTCTCCCATGCACAAACACGCTGCTGCAGTGTCCATTATTCCCCCGCTGCCTCCCTTTGAAGCAAGGAACGCATTAATAAAATAAACATGCACGTGTGTGTCCCCTCGCGCACACACACACACACACACAGCCCTGCTCTGCACCTCCAATAACGAACGCAAAGGTGTTTACAGCGTTTTCCACCACGGACGGGCTTTGCCACTGCAGAAACGCGGCTGCAAGCCCACGAGGCAGCAGCACAGCGAGGGCGTTTGCAGACACAGGTGACCCCTTTCCCTTCCAAAATGGAAACTCACGAGAGCGCAGCGGGCCGGCCACGGAAACCGGACCGGAGGCGGGATGCGCGGGCAGCACTAAAYACCCAGCACATGCTTCCCCGCACAAAAGGAGCGAGGGCTCCGCGCTCCCAGGCGTTTCCACCCGACCTTCCGCGCCGGCACAGATGCGGCTCTTCCCTCCACGCGCTTCTCTCACTCGCCTAACAGATTTTAAACACCATATTGCCAAGGCCCCGCTGTGAATCTTGCTGAGGTACAAAATGGTGGATGTGTGCCTTTTTTTTTTTTTTTTTTTTCTTTTGGTGCATTATTCACAGTCCCTTAACGCTCCCGCTGTGCCCTCCGTGCCCAGCGCCAGAGCCTTCCCGCATCCCGCAGCGGCCTCCCCGCCACAAAGCGCTCCCGGGTCCCCCCGCCCCGTTCCCCGCGGTGCCACCAACCTGATGTCATGTAGCCCCGCGACGCCTGGGAGAGGAAGGCGGGCGGGAAGTGCTTGTGCAGCCGGTAGTCCTTCTCGCTGCGGGACCGCGCGCGCTCCGAGGCGCGCTCCGAGAAGTCGGAGCTCGGCCAGGCCCGCCGCAAGGTCGTGCTCCGCGTCTTCTTCATGCTGAGGGCCCGCGAGGCCGGCGCTCCCGCGGCGACACGCGGCGGCCGGCGCGGCCGCGCATCAGCCTAGCGCGGGCAGCGCCGGGCCGCAGCCCGCCGCGCGCCCCTGCCTGCCCCTCGCCCTTTTTTCCGCTTTTTTTTCCTTCCCCTCGAGTGATCCAATTTTGCGCGCGTCCCACAATGCATTACACTTCATTTGCAACCAGTCCGGCTTAGAGCTCGCAGATCCGTGCGGAGGAAAGGCACATCGTGCGGGTCCCGAGCGCGGCGGCGCGGCGGGAGGACTCGCCGCGGGAAAAGCTCCGCGCTGCCCAACAAAAGCGCGATGGGGGCGGGCAGCGCCTGGCCAGCCGCGAGTCGCCGCACAAAAGACCCAAATTAGGGGGAGGGGGAAAAAACGGC